GCCTTTTCACCACTTGGTTTTACACAGACTGTAGCATATCATATCTGCTGTCTGCACCTTGTCTTTTCACTTAAAAGTACATATTGGAGATCTTTCCATTTCAGTACATAAAGTACTTTATCATTCTTTGTAATAGCTATGTAGTGTGCCATTGCATAGGTATACCATAAACTCTACCAACAGACATTTCAATTGTTTCTAATATTTTGCTGTTACAAAGAATACTACAATTGAAAAGCTGTGCATATGTCATTTTACATGTCTGCAAGTACGATAAATTCCCAGAAGAGGAACCTCTGGCCTAAAGGTATGTGCATTTGAAATATGGCCAAACTGCCCTCCACAGGGATGGTGGGCAATCCATACTCCCATAACCAATCCATACTCCCATCAACAAAGTATGAGAATACCTGTTTTCCCATGCCTTATCAAGAGAGTGTATTATCATTTGGATTTTTGCCAGTCTGGTAAGTGAAGAATATCTCAGTGAAGTTTTAATTGGCAATTTTAAAATTATGAACAAGGCTTAGCATCCTTCAGACAACTTAAGAGCCATTTGCATTTCCTCTTCTCTGAACTATCCTCACTGTTTTCCCATGTTTCAATTGGGTGGATGATCTTTTTCTTTTTGACTTCAGAAGCTCTTTAAATACTAAAAGACTAGCCCTTTCTCTATTCAAAATTGCAAATATTTTCTCCTGTTAAAGCTGTTTTCCTTTTTGCTTTGCTTTTGTTTGTTTGGGAGATTTTTGCTTTTTTTAATTAGCATGCATTTTTTATTATCAAATCTATAATTTTCATAGCTTAGGGATTTTAAGTTATGGTTAGAAAGGCTTTCCCCATTTCAAGGCTATAAAGGAATTTTCCCATGTTTTCTTATAATATAAATATTTTTACATTAAATATTTGATTCATTTGAAATTTATCCTGGTGTCTGGTATTTTACCTAGATGTATAGTCCATAACATGCAATCTGAAATTATCCCAATTCTAAAGCGAATCAAAACCGTTACTGTTCTTATGCTGCATATACTGGCTATTGCTTCCTCTTACTTCCATTCTGGTCAATTTCTACAATCTGTGGTCTGTCCATTGGAATGGCAAACAGGGGAAAAAACTATTTTCTTGTCCTTGTGGTTTGCAATTTAGTGTTGGGGGCTGGGGAGGGGTGGGGTGCCTAGTGCTACTCCAGAAACAAAACTCTGCCAGTTTATCCTTTCAGATTTTCTTCTGATTAGGAGGAGTTAGAGCACATGTTCTGTCATATCAAAGACTGGGAAGCTGAAGACATAAACTACATTTTAAAACTCTCCCAATACTGTACTCATCTCTATGTTTCTATCAATGTACTTCTAAAGATTTCACCTTCATCACAGAACAGGCTAAACTCTTTTCAAGATCACGTGCCATGTTAGAGCATGGGCTAACCCTGAACTTTGTGCAAAGGTCCAGTTATAATTCACATATTTTTTTCCAAATGGCTATCTACTTGTCCCCACATCCCTAGCTACTAAGCAAAGAAATCAGTAAGAATGAAGAATCTCTGTATGTACAAGGGAACTCCCATAAGACTATCAGCTGACTTTTCCATAGAAATTTTGCAGGCCAGAGGGAGTGGCACCATACAGTCAAAGTGATGAAAGAAAAAAACCTACAGGCAAGAATACTCTACCCAGCAAGGATATCATTCAGATTTGAAGGAGAAATATAAAGTTTTACAGACAAGCAAAAGCTAAAAGAGTTCAGAACCACTAAACCAGTTTTACAAGAAACGTTAAAGGAACTTCTCTAAGGAAAAGAGACCACAACTAGAAATATGAAAATTATAAAAGGAAAAATCTCATTGGTAAAGGCAAATATACAGTAAAGGTAGTAGTAGATCAACCACTCATAAAGCTAGTAGGAAGGTTAAAAAATAAAAGTAGTAAAATCATCTATATTCACAATAAGTAGTTAAGGGATACACAAAACAGAAAGATGTAAAATACGATGTCAAAACAGTAAACATGGGTGGTAGGAAGCAAAAATGCATGGTTGTTAGAAAGTGTTTGAACTTAAACCATCATCACCTTAAAATAATCACTTATCAGTATAATGATCAGATTGTTATACATGAACCTCATGGTAATAACTAACCAAATATCTATAATAAATATACACACAAAAGAAGAGAAAGAAACCCAAACATAACACTAAAGATAGTCATCAAATCACAAGGGAAGAGAGCAAAAGAAGAAGAAAGAAGCCAAAAAGAACTACAAAACAACCCCAAAACAGTTAACAAAATGGCAATAAGACACATCTAACAATAATTAGTTTAAATGTAAATGGACTGAATGCTCCAGTCAAAAGACATAGACTGGCTGAAAGGACACAAAAACAAGACCTGTATATATGCTGTCTACACGAGACTCACTTCAGATCTAAAGACATACAGACTGAAAGAGAGAGTATAGGAAAAGGTATTCCATGCAAATGTAAATCATAAGAAAGCTGGGGTAGCAATATTTATATCAGACAAGATAGACTTTAAAACAAAGACTGTAAACAAGAGGCAAAAAAAGAACTTACATAATGATAAGGGGATCAATCAAAGAAGAAGATATAACAATATGAGTATACATATGTACCCAACGTAGGAGCACCTAAATACATAAAGCAAATATTAACAAACATAAAGAGAGAAATTGACAGTAACACAACAATAGTAGGAGACTTTAACAACCCACTTACATCGGTGGAGAGACATAAGATCCAGACATAAAATCAGTAAGTAAACACTGGGCTTAAATGACATTAAACCTGATGGACTTAACAGATTATATATAGAACATGCCATCCAAAAGCAGCAAGATATACATTCTTTTCAAGTGCACATGGAACATTCTCCAGGATAGATCACATGACAAGCCACAAAACAAGTCTCAATAAATTTAAGAATATTGAAATTATATCAAGCATCTGTTCTGACCACAATGGCATGAGACTAGAAATCAACTATGAGAAAAGAATGCAAAAAACCCAAAACAATATGCTACTAAACAATCAATGGATCACTGACAAAATCAAAGAGGAACAAAAAATACCTGGAGACAAATGAACATGAAAACACAATGATCTGTGGAACACAGCAAAAGCAGTTCTATGAGGTAAGTTTATAGTGATACAAGCTTACCTCATGAAACAAGAAAAATCTCAAATCAACAATCTAACATGTAACAGTCATGTTAGATACAGCAAGAAGGTCTACCTTAAATTTGTTTGGAGTCCCAGAAGGAAAAGAGACAGAAATATGGTAAAGAAAATGTTAGAAAAGATAATGGCTGAGAATTGTGCAGAATTCATGGAAGATAATAATCTATAGTATCAAGAGAACCAGCAAATCCCCAGCAGGAGAAATAAAAGTAAATATATACCTGGATATATCATAAACTTGAGAAACCCAAAGATAAAGAGAAAAATCATAAGAGCAGCCAGAGGGAAAAAAAGAAGGCAAAATACTTTTAAAGAGCAACAGTAAGATTGACATTTAACTCTTCAATAGTGACAATGGAAACAAAAAGATGAGAGAATATAATATACAGAGAGAAAATAACTACTCATCTAGAATTCTACTGCCACTAAAATCTTTCTCAGGAAAGATGGCTATTAAAATGGCCTAACTTCAGGGCTTTCCTGGTGGCGCAGTGGTTGAGAGTCTGCCTGGTCTGGGAAGAGCCCACATGCCGCGGGGCGGCGGGGCCCGTGAGCCATGGCCACTGAGCCTGCGAGTCCGGAGCCTGTGCTCCGCAACGGGAGAGGTGAGAGGCCCGTGTACCACAGAAAAAAAAAAAAAAAAAAAAAAAATGGCTCAACTTCAAAACTTAACTGTAGCAAAATAATACGTTATCCTCTTAATATGCCTTTTTTTTTTTTTTTACACCAGTGTTTAAACTTTTATTTCACACCATGCAAGGTCAATTATAACATTAAAAAGTGACAACAGCTATAAGCTACAATTTTACATTTATACATTGTAAGTGTCCATTTTCAAAAGCTGAATTACCATGTTGCCATAACAGCTAGGCTTCAATTCAACTGTTTATACAGATAAAATTTACTATGAAAAACAATGATTTTATATCTGTCTTTAATTCTTCTTTTTACCTTTAATATATATATCACTTTGGACAGAATTAAATCTCTTAAGATAATGAAGAAAAGGTCATATGAAATTAGGTATATGGAGAATCACAGAATTCTCAGGGCTTATTTAGATTCTATTTTCTTTAACCAGAAAACAGGCTTTAAACAACATGATTCTTAAGGTTGTTTTTAGTTCTGTGGATGATTCTGTACCAAGCTAACCACATGGTTACTGCATTATTGCGGTAAAAATTTCACTTCAGGGGCTTCCCTGGTGGCGCAGTGCTTGAGAGTCCGCCTGCCGATGCAGGAGACGCGGGTTCGTGCCCCGTTTCGGGAGGATCCCACATGCCGCGGAGCGGCTGGGCCCGTGAGCCATGGCCACTGAGCCTGCGCGTCCGGAGCCTGTGCTCCGCAAATGGGAGAGGCCACAACAGTGAGAGGCCCGCATAACGCAAGAAAAAAAAAAAAAAAAAAAATTTCACTTCATTAAATCAATGGTACAATTAACTTAAAAAACTAAGTGCTCTATCAGAGTTACAAGTGAAAGGCTATATTTACATAATCAGTCTTAAAATATAAAATAGATGAGAAAAGATTCACAAGACATAGAAATGAGCCCTTTTCCTTCTCATAAAAAAGTGATAACATGTTAGAAAAAGTAACTTAATTAGGTAAATTAAAACATTATGTTAATGAACCTGGAAAATTCTAACAGTTCAATGACTCACACAAGCACTGCTAGTGAGAAGCAAGTAACCCTTGTGCTACATGCAAATAGGGAACCTTTGTACATTTGACTACCCAGATACAGAAAGGTAGCTTCTGTCTGAAAAAAAGAATAATAGTGTTAATGATCAAAAGTATATGCTCACCTTGTAAAAACTCCTCCTTGCAAGCAATGAAGTAGAAGAAAACAATGCTGACTTTCTTGGCCTGATTCCTTTAAATCGTCCTTGAACCAAGAATAACTAAAACACTGGACCACAAGTGTTCCAAAGAGCATAAAGCTTACTGTTAAAATACCGAAAACATACTGTCCCTCAGAGAAAAACCTGACAGACACCCAGATATCCACAATTAAATCAGTTACATAGATTATAATGCCAAGAACCGACATCATAAAATTTAACTTAGTATATTTCATTATGAATCACTATATCTCTTGGTTATCTACCTCCTTCTCTCATACAAAAAGGAAAAAAAAAGAACAAATATTAGTGCATCCTTTCGTGTAGCACTGAATTTTAATTTCTACTCCCTAAATCTATTTAAAAGAAAGAATAAATATTATGAAATTGGAACACTAAAACCAAAGTGACTAATTTTAACTTTCTTTTCTAAACCTCTAATCCAGTTGTTACAAGGCTTTATTCAATCTTCTGTCTCACAGTGTTCTTCATTACAGCTGACAACACCTAAAATGAAACATCATAAAAGATTCTAAAAATCTTGAGTATAGTATTAAACACCCTAGGCCATGACTTTATCAAAGCCCTACTTTTTCTAAAAATAATATATTACCACTAAATATACTTTTTATAATATATAGCTTTGGGAAAGTAAAGTGTCAGAGATATACTTAATAGTTGACAACTTCCTGTCAGACTACTTACCTTTTAAAACACATAACCTGCTCACAAAGACATTTGCCACAGGACCATTTATAGTGGCAAAAAACTGGAAATCATCTAAATGTGTCAACAAAAGGAATTAATAAATAATGGTAGAGTCATAAAATGGAATATTACAAAGCTACTAAAAATATATTTAACAAAGGTACAGTAGCTGTGAAAATTCTTAATATGCTTTTTTTAAAGCATTTTTTAAAATTTATTTATTAATTTAGTTAGTTAGTTAGTTTTGGCTGCATTGGGTCTTCGTTGCTGCGCGCGGGCTTTCTCTAGCTGCAGCAAGCGGGGCCTACTCTCCGTTGCAGTGCACGGGCTTCTCATTGCGGTGGCTTCTCTTGTTGTGGAGCACGGGCTCTAGGCATATGGGCTTCAGTAGTTGTGGCACGCGGGCTCTAGGCACAGGCTCAGTAGTTGTGACACACGGGCTTAGTTGCTCTGCGGCATGTGGGATCTTCCTGGACCAGGGCTCGAACCCATGTCCCCTGCATTGGCAGGTGGATTCTTAACCACTGCGCCACCAGGGAAGTCCCAAAAATTCTTAATATGCTTTGATACAACAATTCCATCTAAGAATCAAGCATAGGGAAATGCTTACAAATGTGCACAAAGATATATGCTCTTTGCAGAACCTTTTTTAAAATAGCAAAAAATTGAAAACAACCCAAATGACAATGAGAAGCCTAATTCAATAAATTATGGTACATCCGTACTAAAGAATACACCATGCAACCTTTAAAAAGAATGAAGTAGCTTTGTATAACCTACTTTGGAAGATCTCAAGACACATTAAGTGAAAAAAGCAAGTACCAAAAGGATAAATATAGCATATTGCAATATATCCTTCCTAATTATACATGGAGAGGAGAAAGGAGTTGGGAGTAGGAAGCAAATGCAATTTTAATCCTTTAAATATTCTTTCATATTGTTTGAGTTTTTTACAACAGACATGTACTAAGGTATTACATAATTTCTTAAAATAAAAACAATAGTAAATGATATTTATAAAGAATTTTGATGACTGGAGAAAGTATTTATTCTACTAATAATAGCTAACATTTACTTACCACTACATGCCAGGCATTGAGCTAATGCTGTACATAAAATGTCCTCATTTAATTCTTACATCAAACTTAGGAGGTAGATATTACTATTGTGAACCCTATTTTATAAACGTAAGCTGAAAGCAATCTGCAGATGAGATTTGTGTGACTCAACAGTGGTTTCTTTAACTGTCCTAATTTTTTTTTTTTTTTTTTTTTGGCCATGCTGTGTAGCCAGGGATCAAACCCATGCCCCCCGCAGTGGAATTGCAGAGTCCTAACCACTGGACCGCCAGGGAAGTCCCTAATTAATTGCTAACATTTCATACAAAAATCTAGAATTTTCCCTGCTACTGAAAAACTCAAAGATCTGCTACAGTAGACTATCATTCCTTCAACAGCAGTGGGCACCCCACTAATGGCATAGGCTCTCTCAAGTTCACCACAGTAGCCAGCCACCACACTTCAGTCATTTCAACAGCTGGGTCTCAATGCCAATTCACCTACCTAATAGCTGTGTGTCCTTAAATATGCTCCTTTACCTCCCTTTGTCTTATTTTCTTCCTCTGAAATAATGGAGATAATAATGGTATATACCACAGAGGGTTACTGTGAAGGTTAAGAAAGATAATATATACAAACCTCTAGAAAAGTACCTGGCATAGTCAGGGCTTAATAAATGTTTGTTAGTTATCATTATTATCTTGCCTGTCTGCCTGACATCTGTAAGCATCTGCATTTGCAATCTTTGACTTCATTTTAAAGAATGTAAGTGAAAAAATACTATGTTATAATCTCAAAGCTTTGAAAATGCAAAGGAAATATGACTGGAGAAATACAAAACATGTTAGCAGTGATTTTATCTGGGGAATTAATGGTATTATAGATGATTTTTTTCTTCTTCATTCTTTTCTATATTTATGGGCTGAACAGTTTCCCCCCAAAACTCATATGTTGAAGTGCTAACCCTCAATGTGACTGTGTCTAGAGATAGGTCTTTACGGAGGTAATAAGGTTGAAAGAAGTCACAAGAATGGGTCCCTAATCCAATAGGACTGGTGTCCTTATAAGAAGGGACACAGCAAGAAAGGAGCCATCTGCAACCCAAAGAAAGAGGCCTCACCAGAAACCAATCTTGCTGGCACCTCGATGTTGGACTTCCAGTCTCCAGAACTGTGAGAAAAATTAATTTCTGTCATTTAAGCCACCCAGTCTGTTGTATTCTGTTAAGGCAGCCCGAGTAGACTAACACCCTGTGTTCTATAAAGAACATTTATTACTTTAAAAACTAGGAGGAGAAAGTGTTACTTAAAAAAAACACACAACCTAATACTTAACAGTGTTCTTGTCATTTTAGCACTTTTAAGTATTTTGTTTAAAAGTCTTCAGAATAATATTAAAAGATATTTCACTCTTCTTACAGAAAAAAACTAAAGCTCATTATCACTACTTTTCCTGTCAAGAATGTTGTGGCCAAACAGGATGGAAAAATCATTTTAAAATCTGAGTATTTCCAACCTAGCAGGCCACGAATTTCCCTGCAATAAGTTTCTAATCTTAAAATGAAAGACATCATGCCCAGTATAAGCATGGAGCTTAGGAGGATGAGATTTAATCAAAAGGTTCTGTTGCTTAATTGAATATTTACTTAAACCTACCATGTGCTATTTTAAGCTCTTGAGATAGATCATGTGACAAAAGAGACAAAAATCCCTGCCATTATGGAACTTACATCCTAGCAGAGAAAGACAGTCAATCAACGATAAAAATAATAAGTAAATTAGGTATCATATTAGAAGGTGATAAGCACTATAGAAAGAACAGAGCAATGTTAAGGGAAATCAGGAGTTGGAGTAGAGGCAGGTGCACCACAGGTTGCAATTTTAATTAGAATGGTCAGAGCAGGTCTCACTAAGAAGGTGGCATTTGAGTAATGAAATTAGCCATGTGGCTGTCACATGAAAAAGATTGCCAGGTGGAAGGAATAGTGAGTTCGGAAGTCTAATGTACTAGATTTGGAGCATGTGGAACAAAATTCCAAAGAATATTGGCAGATGCCTTAACATAGTTATATTGAACGTGTTTAATGTGTACCCAAGTCCTGTTTTAACATCATTTAAAAAAACGTACTTTCCTGGGCTTCCCTGGTGGTGCAGTGCTTGAGAGTCCGCCTGCCGATGCAGGAGACGTGGGTTCGTGCCCCGTTTCGGGAAGATCCCACATGCCGCGGAGCGGCTGGGCCCGTGAGCCATGGCCGCTGAGCCTGCGCGTCCGGAGCCTGTGCTCCGCAAATGGGAGAGGCCACAACAGTGAGAGGCCCGCATAACGCAAGAAAAAAAAAAAAAAAACAAAAACGTACTTTCCTAAGGAAAATGGGAGAGGCCACAACAGTGAGAGGCCCGCATAACGAAAAAAAAAAAAAAAAAAAACAAAAACGTACTTTCCTAAGCTTTACTATCTAGGAAAAAAAATATTGCCATATATAGTGGAAGAATAGATAGTAAGAATAGTAGGTACCACTGCTGAGTATTTACTATGTGTGAAGTGTTTTACAAACTTTATTTTATTTAATTCTCACAAATTTCTATAAGAAGGGTATCATTGGTCCCATTTTACAGATCATGGAACTGAGGCTTAGAGATGTTGGTATTTAGGTGAGTTATCTCTAATGAGTAAACTGATTTCAATATACAGGCACACCTTGGAGATATTGCGGGTTTGATTCCAGACCACCACAATATAGCAAATATCGCAATAAGTGAGTCACACACATTTTTTGGTTGCATATAAAAGTTATACTACACTATACTGTAGTCTATTAAGTGTGCAATTCTGTCTAAAAGCCTGTGCATTAAGTGTGTACTGTGTCTAAAAAAAGTGTATACATTAATTTAAAAATACTTTATTGCTAAAAAATGCTAACCATGATCTGAGCCTTCAGCGAGTCAAAATCTTTTTGCAAGAGTAAAAGATCACTGGGACTTCCCTGGTGGTCCAGTGGGTGAAACCCCATGCTCCCAATGCAGGGGCCTGGGTTCGATCCCTGGTAGGGGAACTGGATCCCACATGCCACAACTAAGAATTTGCATGCCGTGACTAAAAGATCCCACGTGCCGCAACTAAGACCCAGTGCAGCCAAATAAATAAATAAATAAAATTTTTTTTTAAAAAAAGAGTAAAAGATCACTAATCACAGAACACCATAACAATATATAACAAATATAACAATAATGAAAAAGTTTGAAATATTGTGGGAATTACCAAAATGTGACAGTGACACAAAGGGAGCAAATGCTGTTGGAAAAATGGTGCTGGTCGACTTGCTCAATGCAGGGTTGCCAAAATCTCCAATTTGTAAAAACCACAATATCTGAGAAGCACAATAAAGCAAAGTGCAATAAAACGAGGTAGACCTCCATGTGTGCATTTCTTAATCACCCTCCCCACAAAGAGAGCTTCCTTTACCTGGCATGCATAAGGAAAACACTAGCCATTTTGAGACAAGATTTACAAGATGGGAAAAAATAATTTCTAAGAAACTTAGAAATTGCATTACTGGCCGAACATCAGACTCAATACACTAATCTGATCTGGCAACTTCTAAATTCCTAATTTAGTGAAACAGAACATAACGCCAACTAGAAGGAAAACTACACAGCAAAGTACATAATAAACATAGCAGCTCTCATAAAAAAGGGCCTGCACCTCCTTCAGTAACCACATAGTTGTATAACTTGCATGAAGGATAGTTCACCTTTATCCCTACACTTGATCACTGTTCCAATACCACCTTAGCAGAAATAATGCCACCTACAAAATTTGACTTCAGTTAGAGAATTCAGGACACTTACTGACGTAATAGGACAGTTTCGATACAATTTCATTCAGAGGTCAACCCAGCTATGTGGCTACCTGGCTGCCAGCCAAAATACATAACCTTTGCCCACTGTAGATGATCTCTTCACAATAAAGAAGATACCTGAAAGAAATACAAACGAGCAGACTTTCATTTATCAATCAAACTTAACACGTAAAATACGGGCTTACTTGTTACATATAAGAAGCCTTCTTTAACTCAAAGTCCCTCCTGGAAAATCTTCATCCTGGGAATCTTTCATTTCTTCTTCACTGAAAATAAGCATAATTAAGGGATGTGTAAACCTTGAACATCGAAACTAAAATGAAACTGAAATCACCTGTTAGTCATATGTGGGATTTTCTAATCCAGTGATAACAGAGTCTGTATCATTGTGACCACAGTACACTCCTTTTTAACCATCACATTGGGGGAAGGAATTACATGGCTCCTTTTACAGGTTGACTAGGTTACAAGCCTACTGTATTATCAGTTAAGTTTTAAGAAGACACAATTTGCCTCACAGTATATCTAAGTGGACAATTCATGTTTGAAAGGGAGAGATTCTTGAATCTGAAATATTCTAATAAAGAATTTATCATTAACAGAGCCTACTTATTTTTTCAAACTGTATATACCTTCTCAAACCCTATGCCCCAAGAATATATGATTGTTGGTTTCTATTTCGAAAATAAACACTACAGTTCTATTTCCAAGCCTTTGCTCAAGTTATTTACTATTTACTTCTACCTCCATCTTCCTGAAGTTCTATCAGTCTTCAAGAATCAGCTCAAAACCCACCCCCTCTAAGTTTTCCGAGATCTTCCCAATCAATTTGATTCTCTCCTTCCTCCTTGCAATCCCATCACTTCAGCTATACTTCTCTAGGATTTACCCACATATGCTTTAAAATAAGACCATATATATCTCCTTCCTGGTAATACGCCTCTAGAAAGCTAACTATCTTATTCATTTTAACACACACCCACACGTCCACAATACTTTACATGTTATAGGTAGAGGATAAATTATTGTAAATGTAACTGAACAGAATGTAAAAATCATTGGTCTTATTTGTTGGGGAGGAACTTAAACTTCAAGTCTCATTGCTAAACATATTCACAAAGACTCAGTTTTCTCTCTGTAGCCTATATCTTTCTTCTGACCTCAACCCATATATCTGTCTATAGATTCCTTTATGGGGATATCCCACAATCACCTCAATTTAAACTACTCTAAACCAAGTTCATTACCTACCCTCTGTTCCTCCTCTTCTGCTAGTGTCTAATGTTTCCTTCTATGACTCTACTCAAGTCACTTAAATTTAAATTATTTGTTGGGCCCATTTCTTCATCTACCCAGTGAAGAGCTTGACAATGAATTCAATGAAATCTTGATGGAAGGCACAAGGGAAATTTTAATTTAAAAAAAAAAAAAAAGCTAAGGGACAAGAGAATGGAGCTGCCCATGTAATTAGTTCCACCCTCTTTTCAAAGGTTTGCTGACTTTCCAGCAGAGAATTTTTAGAAAGGGAAAATAGCTTCTTGCCTGAAGAGCAATTAACTGATAGCAGACAAATAAATAAATATTGGTAAGCTGAAAACACCTGATGTAGGGAATTTTGATGGTTATTCCAAGCAATTTTTAAAGGACTTATTGCTTGCCTTCCCGTTGCAAAGGGGATAATTTACGTGATTATTTCAATGAAGGTTTTTGAAATACATGAAGAATAGACCTTTGAGACACAGGCAAAGAAACCTGTCACACATAATCCAGGTGTGTTTTCAAGAAATCTGGTGTATTAAACTGATGATTTGTAAAATAAATACTGTATAAATAGCAAGAGTCCTTTCTTCAGGAATTCCTGACAAAAAAGGATGTTAAAAATGCATGTCCATGTTTATTGCTAGTAAATAAAAATAAAATCTTTGTATATTAAACAAAAATGCACGTCCAAATTGTAGAACCACAGGCATCTCATGTGTCAAGTTCTCACTTGTTTTGAAAAAGGGGTCTGGGGTGCCGGTTACATAATTGCCATAACTGGATACAAGTGATCATGGGATCCGTGCATTTCCTTTTAAGTACACTGTAACTCGATTTTTTTTTTTTTTAATGGGGAGGGTTAGTTAACACTGGGGTAGTTAACGCTCAGCGGATTAGAAAAGGACTCCTTACAAAGACCCAAGCCCCCAACACGCAGGCCACCCTGCTTCTCTGGGTAGGCTAGTGGCACGAGGCGGGAGAGGAGCTCCCTGAATCCGCGGGCACGGGGCAGGTGCTGGCGCAAGGCAGCGAGACGAACAAGGCTTCAGACGCAGGGCTGGGCTCACAGAACGCTCACCTGGGCAAGTCCCTAAGTCTCCGTCTTGCGTTTGTAAAGCGGGCATAAAAATAGTGCCTTCCTCTTCACATTGGGAAGCTTAAATGAGAGAGTGGCACTCAGCACAACAGTAAGCGCTAAATAAACCTTCGTTACTGCTGTTTATTGTAAAAGGACACACACACGCACAGGACACACCACACACACACAGGACACACACACAGGACACACACATAGGACACACAAGACAGCAGAGAACACACACATGACACACAGGACACACACACACAGGACACACACACGATACACGACACACACACGACACAGGACAGCACACACACGACACACACAGGACACACGACACAGACACACAGGACACACATGACACAGGATACACAGGACACACACAAGACACACACACAGGACACACACACACCACACAGCACACACAGGACACACAGACGACACACAGGACACACAACACACGGGACACACGACACAGACACACAGGACACACATGACACAGGATACACAGGACACGCACAAGACACACACACACACACAGGACACACACACACCACACAGCACACACAGGACACACGACACACAGGACACACAGACGACACACAGGACACACACGACACACGGGACACACACATACAGGACACACACAAGATACGACACACACAGGACACACGACACAGCACACACACACACCGCACACAGGACACACGACAGACACAGAAACACACACACACCCCTCACCCTCGCCTGAGAACCCGACGAGCGATCCTTCCCGGGATTTCGTCCTCAGTAACTAACCCCAAACCCCTCGCTCCGTCACAAAACTTCCCCGGTTAAAAGGTCTCTCGTGCACTTGAATGAACTCGCCTGCCTGGACACAAACTACTGCGAACGCACCACTTTCTATGACAGGCGGCAGCGCCCACAGGCCGGGAATCCAGCCTGGCCTCGGGGCGCCTCAAACCACACGCCCGCGAACTCCCTCGCGCTGCGGCCAGCGAAACCTGGGTAGCGTCACGTCGCCGCTGGCCCCGCCCCTCGCGCAGCAACAGACTCCCCTCCCTTCCCGCGCCGCTCGCGCGTCGTCACGTGCTCGCGGGCCCCGCCCGCAGCACAGCGGCTGATTTCCCCCTGCCCTTCCCTGCGCCTCACGTCACC